TTATAATGGTGTAGGCAATTTTCTTGAAATTTCTTTAAAAACTTCTCTTCATAATGAAGTTAACATATGTAGCTCTGATGTTTCTTTTATAGTTTGGTGAGAATCCCACCTGACTTAGAAAGTCTGTCTGGTTGATTCATAATGAAGTTAACATATGTAGCTGTGATGTATTTTAGGTAATCCAGAAGGTAGCTTCTGTCATCTTAAACACCAGAAAAAATTTGAATGACTTTTTTTCTCAAAATTAGTTTTATACAAAAAATCAACTTGTTCCTGATGTCCTCTACTTGAACCAAGAATTTTGTTCTTGAGTGCAACACAAAGTCCTAATGAGTAATATTAGGCAGGAACTACTAGGAAGCTGAAGCTTCTTTTTCAGTCCTCCAATTGTTGTTTGGTTTGTCACTTCTTGCCCCTGCTAATAACCCAATTATAAAAGAAATAGCATAGGTGCAAAGAATCCTGAAGAAACTCTACCTTCTTGGGCTTTATTTGCAACTGGCATAATGAGAAACTGCTTGAAGCCTATGGTTAGAGATTTAATCAAGTTCACAGAAAATGTCAAAATCTTCAATATTATATGTAAAAAACAGATATTATCCAAATACTGTAGTCGACTTAGAATGTCATTATTCCCAGAAATTAGATAGCACAAACTAACTTTATCTCATCACCTTCCCTGTGATGTTAGAAATAACTTGGCAATTCTAGAATTTTTCTTCAGGTATGTAATTGGAACTGACATATTCAAGGAATTGAGGAACTACTTACTTTAATTTACGGCTAGTACCTTACAGTTTGGGGATTATTTTTTGTGATTGTTGGTTTTGGAAGTTATTGTTCAGATGATCAAGTGAAGGTTGAATAGGGATTTCAGCTTCTTTTTAGTAATTTTGTTGGATATGTATATGATGTCGCAAATTGCCGTATTAGCTACTTTGAAGACCGAATACCAGATAACTGAAAATAGACCAAACTGATGGACAAAGACCTCTGTGAAACCTTTGTTGAAACAAGGAAGAGTAATGTGTTACGTATGCAATGCTGTTAATATATCTTTGATTTTTCTCAACTTATAATAAATCCTTTATGTTTTAGTTTAATATATTTATTGCACTCCATTTGTAAATGCAGAGTAATCCAGTGGAACAGCCTTTGTGTGGTGATTCATCCTTCTAATGACCAACATTTAAATGACGATTAAAACAAAGTCAAGTGACATTACAGGTGATTTTTATTATCTTTATATCTTTATGATTGCATGTTTCACAGCTGTATTCAAGCCTATTGCAAAATTAAAGTTCCTACTTTATATAATATTTTTGATTGCATAATAAATTTATTTGAAGTTTAGAATTATACATGTTATGTCATTAAAACTCTGAGCCGAGAAAGGGTTTTTCATTGGCTGTCGTTCTGTTCTAGGTTAATTTTGTGTGAAGTAGACTAGTAGCACATGGCCATTGCCTTTTAATTGTTTATAGGAGAACATCCAAAAGAAAAAATTGAGCAATTAAATCATATTAAATCATATCCCAAAAATTAAATCTCCATTTAATATTAAGATTGAACCATAATTAATTAATCTCCCTCTTAATTGAATTAAAATTGTGGACTATCAAAGAATTATAGTCAATATGCGTAAATGCAATAGGCTAACTGATACCACTGTAGGGAATTATAGGTACTACGCAGCGGAAAAACATGAATCATATTCATACAGTACCTAATCCCAAAATCTAATGCATAACACATAAAGAACATATAATCGTACCTTTGAAGCGTGATTCCACGTGCAATCGAGCAAGAACATTGGGAGATAAAGAACCTCAAGCGTGATTCCTCTACTTGGTCCATGGGCACAGATTAAGACCTCCACTAATGCTAGTTAGTTGCAATTGAACCCTTCAATTGACCTTCTATGGAGAAGTGCGAGCAACGAACCACCATGAACCACCACGAACCACCACACGCTCCACCAAGATGGCCGGCCGTACGGACGAGGGGAGGAGAGAGAAAGCCGTGAGTTAGAGAGAGGAATTAGGGTCTTTGGGATTGGTTGTCTTGATGTCAAAATACATTGTGTGTGAATTATGACTGCTACATCCAATCCTAGGCATGGATCTTATTTATAGATCTCATCTCTAAATAAGAGCCCATGTCAAAAGCCCAAAACATAATTCTCATCTAACTATGCTAGCCCAATCCATTTCATGATTAGTTAGTTGCTCATGAGGCCCATTAATGGGCCTCTTACTTGCTTGACCCAATACCCTTGTTGTGTGACCTCATAGGATCCATTCTAGTAGGCTTTGGACTATTTGACTAGCCCAAAGATCATTGATCATAGTCTAGCAACAGATAATGACGACCCAAAAGAACGAACTTATTATCTCCATAATAATGATCCTTGATATATCTAGTAATTGCACTTATCGAAGACACAATTCCTTCAACACGCCGTTGTCGCCGCAACTGCCTTTGTCGCCGCGCGACGGGGCTTGTCGCTAGGCGACAGCCTGGCGTGCGGCATTGTAGGCAATTTTCCCACACGTTTTCTATTTTTTAATAAAATTAAGCGTAAAAGCCCGTACAAGGGGTAAAATCGTAATTTCATTCAAAACACTTCTTTTATTCCAAATAAAACTCATAAAACTCAATTATCAATCCTAATCACATTAGGATTCAAAAGAAGCTTCTAGAAGACTATAATCAATCCTAATTACATTAGGAATGATAATTCATAATAGGCCCTCCTCTAGATCATTGGGCCGCATATAAAGATCAAACCGGACCCAATTTTGTAATTTGGTCCTAATTAACTTCCTCATTTTTCATCGGAATTGGACTTATAATATATTGTTCGAAAGTTCTTTTCGAGCCAAATCCAACTATACTATTATTGGACCCTTGTCATGGACCAAAATAAACTGGATTGGCTACTTTTATAAAATAGGTTTTCGAAAACAGAAAGAAAGAAATTTAATACTAACCGCAACACTAGATTTTCCACACTTTCACTTTCACTTCATTCGATTATGATTCGACGTGAAAGGTATTCATCACCGGGTCTGATTTTGGGGAGACACAAATGGGTGTCTACAAACATCAATAAATATGTTTCAAAATAGTTGAATCTTATAATTTGACCCTTTTTTTATTTTATTTTTTTGTGGAAAATTCATCCATTAACATTGTAAATGAGTAAAGTTATATGTAGCCCTAAGGGTTATATATAAGCATTAAATATAATCTTGAAAATTGTATAAAATTAGGAATTCATGACAAAAACACGCGTAAATCAGTGTTATTAATGTTTATATTTTGATGATTTCTTAACTTTTTACAATTTTCAAATGTAAATTTAATACTTATATGTAGCCCTAAGGGCTATGTATAACATTTTTCATTTTTATAATATCAAAACATTATACTTCTCTGTTTTTTTAGCTAAACATTTGACACTATTAACTAAATTTACGTTGATTGACATTTGTGATTTATAACTATGATAAACATAGTCATCATGTATGATCTTGTTTGAATTGTTTCGATGTATATAATAATATTAATATCAACTTTTTATAATTTTAACTTATTGATATTTAAAGATATTAGTCGTGAATCTCATTCGTACACAATATAAGCGTGATAAAATAAACATGTATTCCTAAAAAAATGGAGATTATTATACAGTATAATAATTTATAATATAATCTAATCTAATATATATAAATAAAGTAGACATTTTTCGGGAGCATTTGGCGCGCCACATAAGAAAAGGTATTATTTCGACCAATGAAAAATTAGATTAATAATTTATCTTAGAATTAAAAAATTTACTCGCCACCTAAGAAAAAGTGACGAATAAGATTTAAGAATTTTGACACATAGGTAGAGGATAATTAAAATTTAAATCACTTTTAAAAACCAATAATTATCTTTTCTAAAAAACAAAATAAAAAAAATAAAAAATAAAACTAAGTAATAATTATCTTTTTTACATATATGGATGCAAATTTTTAATCGCAAATATCCTTAATCTCTCCCTAAAAAATATTGTAAAAGTTTGATTTTACGAATAGAGAAAAATTAAAATTTAAATTAAAAAAAAAACTAAGTAATATCTTTTTTACATATATGGATGCAAATTTTTAATGGCAAATACTACGTATCTTTAATCTCTCCCTAAAAAATATTATAAAAGTTCAATTTTAATAATGTACTCATCAATACGAATAAAACTAAATCTCATATGACTGATTTCCCATAATTTTTAATAGTTAAATGATTATAAATGAGACTAACATTTTAAACAGAACGAGTAAATTAAATAAACGCATAGGCAAAAGACTCATTTTGATCAATAAAAAACGAGATTTGTCATTTCTTTTTTGAATTAAAAATTTAAATTGTCACATAAGCAAATTTAGTGAATAAGGTTTGGAATTTTAAATTCAAGCGTCGCGTAAAATAAATAAAACAACAAAAGGTAACTTTAGTGTTAAATTAAAAAATTATCTTATGATATTAAAAAAATTTATCCATATATTTAATGAATGATCTTCATAAATATACAAAATTTTAAATCAAATAGAATGATTTACTAGAATCGTACATCGCACGAGCTTACATGTAGTTTTATTTATTATAGGAAAAATTATTACAAAAACATGTATTTTAAGTCGATTATTATGAAACAAATGTAGCATCATGTGTACAACATCATATTTCATGTGAGAAAATTTCGTCAGCCAAACTCTTTGACTAGTCTCACGAAAATAATACTCCGTACAGTATAAAAATAAAAAGGGAGACATTAAAGTTACGCTTCTCATTAATATTGCATTATTGCACCAATAATTGCATTTTTTATGGGAGACTGGGAGTTATGGGAACCATTTTTTTTTTATTTTTTTTTTTGGTGTTCTACCCGGTTCACTCTTTGGGCTAATCCGGATTTGGGGATCAGTTCTGGGTGGTTAGGTTCCACTCCCCTTCTAATTGTTGTTGCGGGGGATCGAACACAGGTCCTCCCTACCAAGTATAGTCCCAATCACCACTACACCAACACCCAATTGGTTAGGGAACCAGTTATGGGAACATACAGTATATAATATGTCACTTCCATGTAAACTTCATAACAAAAACTCAGCAAACAATTTTTGGAAGAAAGAAAAATAAAAATGAAATTTCCTTCACTAATCCAAATTTCTGAGTCTTCCATTAAGCCAAAGTATGAAACAAAAGAGGCCAAGAAACCTTATTACTTATCTCCAATGGATTTAATGTTTCTTTCTTGCCATTACAATCAAAAGGGTCTTCTTTTTACTAAATTAAAAAATGACGACCCATTTTTCATTGATAATCTCTTAGAAAGCCTAAAAAACTCTCTTGCTCTTACTCTTGTTCATTTCTATCCACTTGCTGGCCAATTTGAGTCCATCATCGATAAAGACCAACATCGTATGTTGGTCTTCATCGATAGTAATAAGGGCTCGGGTGTTCGATTTGTCCATGCTAAATTAGATGTAACAATATCTGATATTGTTACACCAAATGTACCTTCCGTGGTAAGGTCATTCTTTGACTTTAGCGATGGGGAACTCAATTTCGACGGCCATACGAGGCCTTTGTTATCGATTCAAGTTACGGAATTGATTGATGGGATATTCATTGGTTGTTCTATGAATCACGCTATTGTTGATGGAACTTCTTATTGGCATTTTTGGAATGTATGGTCCGAAATACACCGTGCTAATGGAAAAGATGTTAGTATCTCTCGTTCGCCTATCCATGATCGTTGGTTTCCTGATGGTTATGGCTATAAAGACACTTTTTTTCCATATGTCAATCGTAACGAATTCATTCATGAGTAAGTGTCCTTTATTGCTCTCTTGTTTTATATTTTCTCCATTCTTTTAATTTTGTAACGTTTTAAATGTCTGTTTTAAAAAAATTCATAAACCATGCACCATTCCCTATTTCCCTTTGACAGTATATATAGTGTGGTGTATATCTTTTTTTGTTATTAAATGTAATTACATGGACAATTTATCACACCGTGTGTTCAGTGTTTCTTATTTTCGGGTTACTAATTATTGTCGAGTTACTCAGCTAGTTTTGCGTTTTCAGTGTAAAATCTTTGACCGACCGAGTATTTTCTAAATAAGTAACCATAACCAACCGAGTAACACATGACCGACCAAGTAACTCTTAAATAAGTAATTCTGGTCATACGGTGTGGCCAACCACATTTAAAAATTTGTTACATGACTATTTTTTCTTACGTTAATATATAAATTATTCCATCGGTTTTGTAATAATTGCAACATTTAAACTTTTACACTATTTACACACTTACTTTAATTATACTTTTTATCAATATATAAAAAACATATATTGTCATATAATTTTTTTAAGATTAGTTTATATCATGTTTTTGTACTTCTTAACTATATATAATTACAATCATTGATGGAGAAGTTGTGCATTGACACGTGTGTCTATTAAAGGTTATGATTATTATAAAACGGAGAAAGTACAAATGGTGCAAGGAGAAATAAAGTGGTGGTTGTGGCTGAGGGAAAAAATGAAAGAAATGGGTATTGGGTAATTTTAATGACAAAGCATGGTGAAATGGACAATAAATTGAATTATTGATAGTATCAAAGATCATTGAAAGCAGTAGTTCTGTTTGGGGGGTGCGGAAAGATTAGAAAGTTGAGCAAGGCAAGACGAATATGCTGAATTATTCCACGTTTATTTTTATGTTTTTTCTTGCCTGGGGTTGCAAACTTTCAAATTTTTGAATGTTTTCAAACAATTGTGCCGTTAGAAATCATTTCGTACCCTGCCTAAAAAAATAATAAATAAATAAATAAAATAAAAATTGAAAGACAAGATAGCGCATTTTATTAAATTAGGTCTAAATTTGCAAAAGTAATATATTTTGCGGAAAATAAATAAGCTGTACATACTCCACATTACACCATGTATCCCATCTAGCAATAAGATGTGCAACTGCATTATATGAACGTTTAACATGTGAAATAGTACATATATTAAAGAGCAAAGTATCTATCCTAATATAATCAATCAATCAATAACTATATACTAAAGACACACTAGCAATGACACGTGTCATTTTCTGTTGTGTCCCTTCGTTGTTTTTTTTTTATATATATATAATATTTATATAAGAAATAAATCATAAAAGATTAGAAAAGATTTTGCTTCAAAAAAAAAAAAAAAGAAAGAAAAGATTTAATGTATCCTTCTAAATATATATTGATACCATAAACTTTTAAATATGGAGTACAATTTATGACATACTCCCTCCGTTATTAAATACTTGCTTCACTTTCCTTTTTTGGCCATTTTTAAATATTTGCTCCATTTCCTTTTTTGGAAAGATTTAACAATATTTAATTCATTTCTCACACTTAGTGGACCCAACATTATACTCTCTCTCCTCCAATTCTTCCACTATTTTTGCTTTTTACAATTTTTTATTTTCTCAACTATCTCATTACCTCTATATTTTATTACTTTCTTTAATTTCTCCTAAAACTCCGCACATGGAGAAATTTAGCAAGTATTTAAAAACGAAGGGAGTATGTAGAGTTATGTACTACCCCTTTACTATTAATAAAATAAGGATTTTTTTTTTGAAAAAAATATTTCTATATTTAATCAAGTATGAAAAGCTTGCCAATAATGATATGAAAAATATTTTAAGTCATTGGATTATTGTAAAAAAAAAAATGCAACCTATATAAGAGAAAATGAATAATAATGAGCAAAAAAGATATCTACGTACTAGTTAAATACATATTGTTAAGATTTTTAATTGGTTTACGAGTAGAAAACGATATAAATTTGTTGGTGAAATATATACCAATATACATTTATACCTATTTTAAAATATCTATTTTGCAAATAGTAGAGTTTTATAATAAATTCATTTTACAAATTAATAACTTAACCAATTTTTTTTAACAATTAAATATAACGTGAATTAAAAAATAGTTATTGAAAGTAACCGTGTATGTCACGGCCCCTAACCTATATATATATATATATATATATATATATATATATAATTTAATTTCACGTATAGATTTTGACTTAAATTGATTGTTACTTTTACCATTTTTTTGGCTATAGATTTAACCCACCTCCATTTGAAGAGAGATTCTTCCATTTCTCATCAGAAACAATAGCAAAACTCAAGGCAAGGGCTAATCAAGAAATAACCAACAACAATATCGTGATTTCATCCTTTCAAGCTCTCGCGGCATTTCTCTGGAAATCTATGGTACAAGCGAAAGGATTGAAACCAGACCAGCAAACCCACTGCAAGTTAGCTGCTAATACCAGGACAAGATTAAACCCGTCGTTGCCTGAAGAATACTTCGGCAACTCACTTGTAGTACTAACATCAACTGTAACAGTTGGAGAATTGTTCAAGAATAACTTAGGGTGGACTGCATCAGTGGTGCACCAGTCAGTGGTTAACCTTACCAACAAAACAGTAAACGATTTTGCAGATTCATGGCTCAAGTCTCCTTTCGTATTTAGTCTTGATCAAAAGTTGGACAAGGATGAAGGCAACTCAGTACAAGTAGGAAGCTCGCCTCGATTTAACATATATGGGAATGAGTTTGCAGGACTTGGGAAACCTATTGCAGTTCGCAGTGGATTTGCAAATAAGTTTGATGGCAAAATTACTGTCTACCCGGGATTCGAAGGTGGAGGAAGTGTAGATGCCGAGATAAGTTTGTCGAGTGCTTACATGAGAGCTCTTGAATCTAACAAGGAGTTCATGGCTGTTGTATCTTCACCATAAAAGATCGAAAGATCGTAGTTACAAGATCGGGTAAGGCTAGCTTATGGCTTATGCCCCGTAGAAGTATGATAAATTTGCTCGTAACTTTCTTATTTGATATTGAATAACTTATTTTATGTCCTTTTTTTTTATTATGATAACATTGGTGCTCAAATTATGTGATGTAAACAATTGGAAATTTATTATGGTTTTCATAAAATGTTTATGTTTTTTTTTTAAAAAATTTATTTTATTTATTTGGTTCGATTGATTGATAATTAGCTTTCATTTTAATGTTTTAGTTGAAAGGAAAATGAATATTGTAAATTGGATCAACAACATAAACCATTGATCACTAAAAACTTTTAAAGTAAGTGATTGAGATAAGAGCTGAATCAATCCTCTTTCATGGGCCATGCTGTCTCTTCAAAAAATTGGCCCAACTAGGAACAAACCCATTTAAACTCGATACAATACGACCACAAGTAATAGTGTGATACCATGATGCGCCATAGATTGTGCAAAAAAAAAAAAAAAAAACAAAAAAAAAACCATTTTCAAAATTTTTGTAATAGTTTGACGGGCCAACCATATGCCAACCAATTTTTTTTCAACCAATTGACAAAAATTTAAAAATTACTCCCTCTATCCCTAAATTACACTCCTACTTTTCTCTATTATGTGATGAATAAATGCTACAAGTAGTAATGTAATTTAGAAATGAAGGGAGTACTATCAAGAAAACTTAAGGGTCGTTTGATTGGATCATTTGGAGTGGTTGAAATGGAGTTAGAATCCATTCTATCTTACTTTTTGTTTGGTTGAGGTTTTTAGTAATGGAATCTCATTCCCAATGGATTCTAATTTCCCTGCCCCCCCCCCCCCCTCCAACACCCATGGAATCCCATACCCACCCCTCCCCCTAACTCCCTAACGGTGTGTTTGGATAGAAGAAAATGGAAGGAAAAGAAGGGGAAATAAATGGAGAGATGTGATATCTTTCATTTAGATAATAAATGAGGAAGTAAGGGAATTGGAGGGGAGAGAAATGGATGGATTAAATTATAAGAAAATAACTCCTTCAACAATTGAGAGATTTGGAAGGAAAACTCATCATTCTTCTCTCCCTTTCCTTTCCCTCCCCTCCTCTTCTCCTCCCTCCCCTTCTTTTCTTTCCTCTAATGTTATCCAAACACACTGTAAGATTCACATTCCATTCTCTTACTATTAGGAAAGATATGATATATTATTTTATTACAAGATATATTTTCTTATAGTTTATCTTAGGAAAAGATAATTAGTTTCCTAAGTTAGATAAGTTTTGGTTTCCTTGTTGCTCAAGGAGAGATCTTGTATAAATATGGAGGTTGGTGGAACATTATGATCAAGAAATACAATTCTAAATTCTTCTAATTCTCTTAATATTATCATGGTATCGGAGCTAAGGTTCCTTCAATAAACAAATCTTGAAATTTTTTAATTCACCATGGGTGACACCCCGCCACCACCACCACCAAAAATCGAGCCTAATTCTCCCTATTACCTCGGACCCCAAGATCATCCAGGTGACTTCATAACCTCCCAAACTTAAACTTGATAATTATAATGAATGGTCACACGCAATTTTTATAGCATTGTCATCGAGGCGTAAATTTGGTTTTCTCGATGGCACCATAACAAGCTGTGCTCCCCCCTGCACTAAGGATGATTGGATCACGATACATTGTATGCTCGTATCGTGGCTTATGAACACTATTGACCCAGAGGTCCGTTCTATGCTCTCGTACTACGAAAATGCTAAGAAGTTATGGGACGATTTGCAAGAACGATTTGGCCTTGTGAATGGCCCTCGTATTCAACAATTAAAATCGGAAATCAGTCGATGTGAACAGCCCAAATCAATGTCAGTTGCGGTTTATTACAGCAAGTTATCGGTCTTATGGGATGAGCTAGATAAACACGAGCCATTGATAGGTTGCAAGTGCGGCAAGTGTACGTGTGATGTGGGGAAGCAGCACGCTGCTAGACGTGATGGTGATCGTCTAAAACAATTTTTGCTTGGACTAAATTCTGATTTCTATGCCGCACTACGCTCCACTCTCCTCTCTCAAGACCCTTTACCCTCCTTGAATCGAGCATATCAAACCATTGCTCAAGAGGAGCGTGTGCGAGGCATTGCTAGCCATAAAGAAGAGCCTCCCGAAGCGGTTGGCTTTGCGATTCGAATGGAGAACAACTCCAAGCCCCGTCTTTCCCGTGCCGAGAGAGCAGCATTAAAGTGCACACATTGCCACAAAAAGGGTCATGATGCTACCACTTGCTTCGATAAACATGGAGTCCCCTCTTGGTACATCGACAAATATGGCTCGAAAGAAAATAATAGGGGGGCTGGACGAGGCAGAGGTGCGCCACTCAAGGCCAACGCCACTTCTGCCCCTGCAGCAGCCAGCATGGCCCCTGCCACCATGGCTGCCCCGAATCTCACCCCTGAGCAGTGGCACGCCCTCATGGCTGTTTTGGGTAATTCATCCCCACCAACCAACCGTGTGAATGGTAAGTGGATCGTGGATACCGGTTGCTCCCATCATGTAACCGACGATCTTTCTTGCTTGGTTGACGTTCATGATGTCCCGTCTTGCAATGTTGGTCTTCCGGATGGCCAAAGTGTTGTGGCCATGAAAGAAGGAGTTGTAAAATTGACAGACAAAATCACTCTTTATAATGTTCTTTTTGTCCCAAAATTAAATTGTAACTTGATTTCGGTTTCACAATTCTGCTCTACAAACAATTGTGAAGTCATAACTAACTCTATCACTTGTACTATACAGGACCAACGCACGAGGGAGGTGATTGGCACGGGTAATCTAAGAGATGGACTATACTATTTTCGAGAGGAGGCATCCATAGCGGCCGTTTCTATTGAAGACTCATCCAACTTGAAGCTTTGGCATAAAAGATTGGGGCACCCTTCCGAGAAAGTTGTAAAACTCCTACCTTTTCTTAGTAATTCTAGAGGTCATTTAAATAAAGATTGTGAAGTGTGTCATCGTTCTAAACACACTAGAGACAAATTTCCTTTAAGTGATAATAAAGCTTCTCGTATTTTTGAAATAGTTCATTGTGATTCATGGGGGCCATACAACGAACCCTCCTCTTGTGGTGCTCACTATTTTTTGACTTTGGTGGATGATTATTCTCGTGCCGTTTGGATATATTTATTGATTGATAAAACTGAGGTGTTTAAGATGTTTATGTCTTTTATAGCCATGATTGATAGACAATTTTCTCAGAAAATAAAAATAGTACGAAGTGATAATGGTACCGAATTTTTTTCTTTGAAAAATTATTTTTTGGCTCAAGGCATTATTTTTCAGACCTCTTGTGTGGGTACTCCTCAACAAAACGGGAGGGTTGAGAGAAAACACCAACAAATCCTTAATGTTGCTCGTGCTCTTCGATTTCAGGGAGGGTTACCAATCTATTTTTGGGGAGAGTGTGCCCTTGCTGCGGCTCATCTGATAAATAGGACACCTTCAATACTTCTTAATAATAAAACCCCTTATGAGTTGTTATTTGGCACCCCAACTTCGTTTAGTGAGTTACGTGTGTTTGGGTCTTTGTGCTTTGCTCATAATCAAAAGGCAAAAGGTGATAAATTTGCAAGTCGTAGTCGTAAATGTGTCTTTGTTGGTTATCCTTTTGGGAAGAAAGGATGGTATTTATATGACTTAGATAAAAAGGTTTTTTTTACCTCACGGGATGTTCGATTTTTTGAGGATGTGTATCCCTACTTGGATGTTGAGAGTACGAACATTGATATTTCAACACCAAATTTTGAGTCAAGTATTGATATGGGAGGTGACTTGGTTCTCCCATATAACCCCGAGGAGAGTTGCATCACTCTCAAGGCTCCCACTCAGCAGCAGCCGGCTGTGGTTAGTGCGCCAACACCACAGTCGGCCGACGCCCTTGCACAAGAGCAGCCGCATATGGAAGCCACAGACCCCAATGCTATGGGTCGTGGGCATCGTCAGAAATTTGCAAATAGCAAATACAAGGATTTTGTCACTCATACTCGGATTTCTCGAAATAGTCCATCTTCTTCACCTAATCCAAGGTTCTCACCTCCCTCAGGTATGCCGTATCCTATAGCACATTATGTTAGTTGTGATAAGTTTTCTGCAAAACATCGAAATTTTGTTGCAGCAATAACAGCAGGTAGAGAGCCTCGTTCCTTCAAAGAGGCAATGCAAGATGAAGATTGGAAATTAGCAATGAGTGAAGAAATGCGTGCTCTTGAAAATAATGGTACGTGGACCTTGGAGAAATTGCCTCCCGGGAGGAAAGCCCTTGGTAGCCAATGGTTGTACAAAATTAAGTACAAATCTGATGGAAGCATTGAGCGACTCAAAGCTCGCTTGGTTGTAGCTTGTTTGGATGGAGAGAAATGGAGGGAAGGGAAGGGGAGGGAAAAGAAGGGATGAGTTTTCCTCCATTTGGATAGCAAAAATGGGAGGTGAGGGAATTGGGAGGAGGAGAAATGGAAGGAAATTATTTTCTTCCACAATTAAGAAACAAATCTTTCCAAATTAGAGAAGATTTGGAAGGAAACTAGTTTTTATTTTCTCTACCTTGCTACTGTTTGTCGTCTCCACCACCTGTCGTCATCTTCCGCTGTCATTTCCACCGTAACATTCACCGCCATATCTGGTTTTGATTTACAAAAATCGATTGATAATGAAATCTGATTACAAATTGATTATGATCTTCAAAAATTGATTTTCTGGAAAAAAAAAAAAAAAGCTTTGGTTTTAATTTTCAGAAAATGCGGTCTTCTTTTTCTAAAACCAACATTCAGAATTTTGATTTTTGAAAATCGATTTTCATAAATTTTGGTTTTAATTTTCAAAATCAATTTTTAGAAAATTTTGTTTTGGAAAATTATAGGGAAGAAAATTAGATTTCCAGAATTTTTGATTTTGGAAAATTAATATGTAAGAATTTTATGTTTCTAGAATTTTATATTTTGAAATTTTGATGTGTGAATTATTGATTTTGAAAAATTGAGAACTTCAATTCATATTATCACAAGAACAACACATTAATGTAGCCATGGGTAAAATTACAAAGAATAAGCAAATTCCCTCACTCTCTTTTCCTTCATTTTCTTTGTTATCCAAAAGAGGGATTTTGTTTTCTTCACCCCTCCCCTTCCTTCATCTTCCTTCCCCTCTCTTTCCTTCCAAAAGTTCTATCCAAACACAGTGTTAATGAAGGATAGAATTTATTCCAATAATTAAACCAAACAATTTTGGACTACTATGAGTTTTAGAATCCATAACTCTATAATATGAGGTTTCATACCAATCCATTCCAACTAAATGAACCAAACACCCCTGATAGTTTTGTACAACACATGAGTAAGGGCGTGTATGGATCCCGCTTTTGAAAGATCGATACGACACAAATTTTCCTTTACGACTTCTAGATACAGGTCGCTGGGCTGTGGGACGGACTGTGGGAGTACGAGACCTGTGGGTCTTGCACATGGACTTACATGGCCCAATTCGTTCCTAGCTCTAAGGATATCTTTTGTTATATTGGGGTCATTAAAGGTGCAAAATACACTCATTTTGACCCCAAGCTCCCAAAGAAAGCTGATGTAAGTGAAGTACAACAAACATGAGCTGCTTGCTTTCACGTGGTTAAACCATGGCCCACCTAATCATACAAGCAAAATTGTTTACACAATCCTAATTATTCAATTCATAATAATTGAGATCAACATTACATGAGCATAATTTAGGGGAGCTCTAGTTGCTTGTTTTAGGTGCAAATTTGCTTCAAATTTTCAAATATTCCGTTGATCATTTAAGCACCGTTTGACATTGTAGCCAAGTAAAGCAAGCAGCTTAACCAAGTTAACAACTCATCAACTAGGAAAAAATTACTAAGAGTAGTATTTTATTGTGTGGAGTAAATATAAAGACAATGATCTAAACTATATAGCATCGTTTGGATAATTGATTAAATTAGTTGGTTAAAATTTTAAAAAGTGATATATTGATCATCAACAACATACTAGATCATAAATTTCGAAACTTTAATCAATTGAATATGCAAATAACAAATTCAACCCAGATGAGATTGAATTTGTTATTTGCATAATTTTTGATAATTACTCAAACTACCAAAGGACAAAAAAAAACATGTACTAGTATGAGTTTGAATGTTTGATTATAAAATAAAATAAAATTCTACAATATATTTTTCCCACAATAATAATAATAATAATAATAATAATAATAATAATAATAATAATAATAGTCGAATTTACAATAGTAACCCTTTCAATTATCGGGCCAACTTTCAACTTTTGTCTTCGGGAAGAGCTTCATAGTTATTCAAACTCCGATCGGAACCCGGGACGACTCGGTGGTTAACTCAATTATCCCCACTTTCCGCCATCACAACGCATTCTTCTATCTCACCCCAAATCGCCCCATTTTCCTAAATACAATTTTTTAAAATTTAAAATAAAAAAAAATATTCCTAGACTAATTAATCATGTATATGTGTAAAAAAAAAAAATTACCCAAATCAAAATTAATTCAGGTATAATGTGAAGTCGCTTAGACCGGTCTGATACAAGAGTTTCCGCGTTAAAATTCAAACGAGTCGTCCTAGGTCAATTCAGTTCAACTCAGCTTAGCTCTAGACGAGCTCATTACTACCAGACAGATTTCTCGAGCAAAGGACGAGAATCAGCAAGGGACCCACGGAATCCAACGTGGCAAAAAGACGACCGTTGGAAATCCTCAAGATTAACAAACCGGCCTTTGGAATCAGACCGGTTCAAGAACCGGATGATCTCTTCAAACAAATATTCATCACAAGGAATAGAGAGCGGTCCAGTTTGGTTTACGAACCCGAACTCTTCTTCTGCTTGAACTAATAATTTACGAATAACGGGGTGATTAAGGTAGCTCGCTCGGACAACGAAGCGACGGGAGTTGGAGCCGACGGTGACGGCGACGTGACCGGCGGGGACGTCGGAGGGGATGCGGCGTTGAGCGGCTTTATTTCGCCAGCGACGGAGCATTTGACGGAGGCGGACAATGTGACGGATCTTGTTACATTTTTGGAACCCATTATTACTGTTATTTGGTGATGATGTTGTTGAGATTGAAGACATGATTTATTAAGGGTGTAATAATTTGAGGGAAGATTATTAATTTGAGAAAAGTGAATTGAAGGAAGAAATATAGTGAAGGTTGGTAAATGAGGTTTGAGTTTGAGTTGGAAGAGTAGCGCGTAATGTAGTAGATAGCTGTAGTCCTCTGTCGTCGGAGTGCGAGAGGATTTTAAGGGGAAAAATGAAGGTGATGAGAAGAGGGAGTTGAGAGAGACAGGGTGTGCTTCTTTTATAGAAGAGCACTTCTTTTTTTTTTTTTTTTTTAAAGCGTCGTTGATTCCTTTCCTTTCCTAGTGTTGATATATTTTACTTTATTTAATGGATCGAATAACCGGTTGTATCTTGTGTATGGTATATTTACGGCTGATCCGTATTTCTTATCTTTATTTGTTTGTATTTGAGGGTATTAACTAATAACTATAAAGGGACTATAGTGTAAAGTCTTTTTTTTTTTTTTTGAAAAGCCTATAGTGTAAAGTCTTATAGAGAGCTTTAGTTGTATTTATATCTGTCAATCGGTTTTTCGGTTCGATTTTCGGTTCGGTTTATCAGATTTCGGTTAGTAACGGGTCGGTTTATAGCGAGTTTAAATAATTAACGGGTCGGTTCAGTTTGGTTTTAAATAAAATCGGGTCAGTTCGGTTTGGGTTTTTTTAACTACGGTTTCTATTCGGGTCCGATTCTAATCAGATCGGTCTGTAATCGGTTCGGGTCATAATTGGTTCGGGTTGAATTCAACAGTTTGAAAATGAATTTTTTCGGTTTTAAGCGGGTTTCGGGTCAAAACAGATCGGGTCCTAATCGGGTCGGGTTGTAATCGGTTCAGGTCATAATCGGTTCGGGTTTAACTTGGTCAGTTTGAAAACGGGGTTTTCCAATTTAGAACGGTTTTTGGGTCAAAACAGATCGGGTCCTAATCGGGTCGGGTTATAATCGGTTCCGGTTGAACTCAGTCGATTTAAAAACGAGTTTTGGTTCAAAACAAATTAGGTTAAATCCTAACTAACAAAGTCACAATTAATTAATAAGGGTCATAAAACAAGTTGTGTTGATTGAATAGTGAGTTAAACAAATCAAGTGAGTTAGGATATAATTGAGCAGGTTATGAAGAATTGGGTTAAATCCTAACTCACAAAGTCACAATTAATTAATAAGGGTCAAGTTGTGTTGATTGAATAGTGAGTTAAACAAATCAAGTGAGTTAGGATATAATTGAGCAGGTTATGAAGAATTGGGTAAAATCCTAACTCACAAAGTCACAATTAATTAATAAGGGTCACAAAACAAGCTGGGTTGATTGAATAGTGAGTTAAACAAATCAAGTGAGTTAGGATATGATGATTGAGCAGGTTATAAAGAATTGGGTTTATCAGGTCATATTGTACGTATAACAAGTTATGACTCATACATTTATACTCATACACGAATTCAAATCAGATCAAATTAAAATCGAGTTATGAGTTAAACAAGTTAGGTTGAATAGGTAACGAAAATTAGAACAAGTTGAAATTTGGTTTCAGTCATAAATATGCTCGGTTAATTAATATGAGTTAAATGGTTCGGTCGTAATCGGTTACGGGTTGTAAACGGTTCGGTCATAACTGGTTATGGGTTATAAACGGTTCGGGTTAATCAGGTTTTTGTCGGGTTTTAACAGTTTCGGTTTACACTAGGTCGGGTTACTATCGGGTTCGGCAGTACTCGGTTCGGGTTGTTCTCGGTTTCGGGTTGCATCGGTTCGCTTGAAAAACGGGTACGGTTTCTTAACAGTTTTCAAACATTTGGATCGGTTCAGTTTTAGGTTTTAAAAAATCGGGTCGGGTCAGTTTACGGTTATAACATAACGGGTTGTTCGATTCGGTTCCTTTTCGGAACAGTTCGGAGTCACCAGTTTGGGTCGGTTTTTGACAGCTCTAGTTGTATTCCATCAAATCAATACTATGAAAGTGAGGGATAGCTCACTTGGTTAGAGATTTCCTTTCGGTTTCATATTTTGTGTTCCTAAATGATAGGAAGATATTTAAATAAGTTTTATCCAAATTTGCATAGCCAAATTAACTTAGAACAGTCTAGTGTCTTATGATAAAGTTTTTATTATTTAAGCATATTTAAACAAAGTTAATATAACTAAACTAGACTTAGGCCTTGTTCTTTTAAGCTCTTGGGTAGAGCAGATTATTATTAAAAATTTATTAATTATTATTATTATTATTATTTAAATATTAAATATTAAATATTAAATATTAAATATTAAATATTATTAATTTTATTAAGTATTAAATATTATTATTTCTACTAAATATTAATTATTATTCTTATTATTAAATATTAATTATTATTATCATTAAATATTAATTAGTAAATATTAAATATAATTATTATTGTTATTAAATATTTATTATTATTATTAAATATTAATTAGTTTTATCTTTATATATTAGTTATTATTATCAAATATTTATTATTATTATCATTAATTATTATTTTTAAGCAGAGCAGATTTTAGCAGAGCAAAATAGAGCAGCTTAAAAGAACATGACATTAATTTGGCTAATTTTTAGTTATTTCAACTAAAATGAAATTATTTTTACTAAATTAATTTAGGCTTGGTTTGTGTGGACATTAGGGATATAAAATTAAACTTCTCATAATTATCACATCCAATTGTTTAATTTACATTTCTAAGTTTGATTATAAAATACTAATCTATATCTATACTAAGAATTTTTTTTTTTTTTTTTTTTTTTTTTTAAAAAAAAAAAGACTGCGTATGTTTCTTCTTTTCAGTTTATTGTTAGGATTTGTATGCTCAAGAAGTCAAGAGGTGTAATTCGTTCTATCATTCGGCTTTAACTATGATTTCATTTAATAAAAACTTATATATACCCGGATGCAAGGGTTTTTTCTGCCCATTTAATAAATTTTTGCTCATTATAAAATTAATTTTTTTTAATTAAACTTGGATGAACCAACATCTATTTGCACCTGGGTGGGTACATAAAAGGTTTTGGCTTTCATTATTTGTTTCATGAAGTATTTTTATAATAATAAGCTAGCAAATCTTGGTGATTAGGAAACTATCATTAACATCTTACAATTTCTCATAAGATATCATACAAAATATCCTAAAGATATTACTCTTAATTAAAATCATATCTTAACACAATATACCCTAAAGATATTATTTACCTAAATCAATATGAAAATTATATTACACAAATATATTTTCAATTCTTGTATTGAATTTATCACATATCTCTGACACCCTCCGCAATCATAATATCAGTAACACAAACATTATGATTAAAATTTCTTGTCTTTGTTAAAGTCAAGATGCGCAAATTTAATTTGGTGATACCGCCTTCAATCTTTTTGTTTTACGATGAGATTACTGTTCTTTTCAAACTCATCAATCGAACATGAACGACATTCTTTTCGAATCTATAATGTTTTAATTTTTCTTAGAAAGCCACGCTCACATTAGATAAGTTCGTTATTTTTAGAAGCAAAACCAAGCTCAAATTTATTATCAGCTTTCAAAGGAAAAACACACTCAAACAACCATCTAGCTCAAATCCAATTATTCCTTGTTTTCGGGCACAAGAGAAATATTTAACTTGTCACAAATAGCAAAAAGATATATATACCACCCACATCACACCATATTTTATATCAATCTTAGAAATGACTCGATGAGCTATGTTGGAACTAAGGAAGGTGTTGGACTTAATGATTTTGATGATGACATAACCTCACTTACTTACAAACTAATAAGTGCTTGATTGTTTAAGTGTGTACTAAGTTACAAAGACTAGGAGAATAAAGTGTCTTGTAAAAATACCATGAGGAACAAGAAGGCCAGAAGCAGAGCTATCCATATTGAAGAGTTCCCTCACAGGAACTGGCGCTTCAAAAATGAAGACTGGAGAAGAGAAGGTTCCCTTAGGGAACAGAAGCCTCAGAGAAGAAGCCTCATCAGAGAAGAGAAGTTCCTCCTAAGGAACAGAAGCCTCGGAGTAGAAGCTTCATCAAAGAACATGAAGACTAAATATATTTTTATATTTTAGGATTTATGTAAGTATAAGATATTAAATAGCACTCAAAAAATCTATGTGGAATTGGTCTAAAAAGATAAAATTGTGCATGCTAGTTTTTAGGAAAACTGTTGCTTTCTAAAACGTTTATCTTTTGAAAGGGATTTTATTTTATTCTGAATTTCGAAAATATCTTGTGCAAAAAGATTTTATTTCCTTATTTTCGAAAATATCTTTAGAAAATAAAATCTCCCACGTTCTTCTAAAAGCTTGCGGCCTACTCCTCCATGATCTTCTTCAAGTCATGGTCTTGCACATTGAGGAGTTCATGTTTCCTTAATTTTAGGAACATGATCTTCTTAGTGGGTTGGAGTAGTGATGTTGTGGATTTGCTGCACAAAGAAGTTTTTCCTAAACGAATTTTGGTCTATAAATAGCTGTTGATTTCAGATGGAAAAATTCACCCTTGCTCACATAAATTTTCAAGCTTCAAATCGAGTCAAGTGTCAATTCCACACAAGTTCATTAGAGTGTTCTTAATGTTCTTATACTAGAGTTTGTTTTTCTTTCGAGTTGTAATTTGGGGAATGGGGAAGTTCGAGTGAACGTTTGTGTATGAGAAAGAGAAGAGAGAAAGAGAAGAGAAAGAGAAGAGAGAACAGAGAAGTGAGAAGAGAGAAAGAGAAAGAGAAGAGAAGAGTAACAAGTTGGGTGACTTGTTCCTCAGGGTCTCAAGTTCGTAGAGGAACTTGAGTTTGAGTCGTTAGCTTGTAATAGGATCATTTGCCCTATTATAGTGAAGATTCTTTTCCCAAAATCCCAAGTGGTCATGGTTTTTCTCCTTGTTAGGGCCAAGGAGTTTTCCACGTAAAATCTCTCTTGCTTTCTTTAGTTCTTTTAGTTAATCTCTCAGTTCCTTTAGCTAACTTAATTTTAATTCCGCAAAAAGTTTGGCTAATCTCTCATACTACAATTCAACCCCCCCTTCTTGTAGTATTCTTTAAAACAACAATTGGTATCAGAGCCTAACTTCTAGGAAAATCAGGAAACCCTGAAGAAGAAAGGTCTTGGAGAAAATGAATACTCATGAGAAGCTCGAGGAAGGATACTCAACTCAGAGGCCTCCTATGTTCAACGGCAAGTTCTATACTTACTGGAAGAACCGCATGGAGATCTTTATCAAGGCAGAGAACTACCAAGTCTGGAGGGTCATCGAGGTTGGTAATTTTGAAGTCACCAAAACTAATGCTCAGAATGAGTTAATCCCTAAGCCTATGTCTGAATATGAAAAAGAGGACTTTGATAAAATGGAAATAAATGCTATGGCTGTGAAATTGCTCCACTGTGGACTTGGACCTCACGAACACAATCGTGTTATGGTGTGCAAGAACGCTAAGGAAATCTGGGATTTGCTGCAGATTACTCATGAAGGAACTAATGAGGTTAAACGCTCAAAAATCGATCTACTTATGTTTTAGTATGAAAGATTTTAGATGCAGCCTAAGGAAACCATTCAAGAGATGCTAACCCGTTTTACTAACATCATAAATGAGTTGGTTTCCCTTGATGGACAGATTCCTACAGATGAGCAGGTTAGGAAGGTTCTTAGAAGTCTTCCACAAGATGAGAGATGGAGAGCTAAGGTGACAGCCCTTCAGGAAACGAAGGACTTTACAAAATTCAATATTGAACAACTAGTAGGTTCTCTCATGACTCATGAGCTACACCTTGGAGTCAACAATGAACCCATGAGGAACAAGGGATTGTCTCTTAAGGCTGATGAGGAGGAAGACTCAGAAGTGGACGAGGATGAGGCTTCCCTAATTGTGCGAAGATTCAAAAAGATGTTCAAGAAAGGCCGAACCTCAAGGAACTTCGGGAAAAAGACCTCAAATACAAAGCCTGACTACAGCTGCCACAAGTGTAGATCTCCAGATCACTTTATCAGAGACTGTACCCTTTGGGAAAATGATAAAGGGAAAGGAAAGGCTAAGGAACAGGGAAGAGAAAAATTCAGCAAAGCAAACTATCAAAAGTCAGACATGAGGAAGGCCATGATAGCAGCCTGGGGAGTCTCAGAGAGTGAAGAAGAAGATGATGACCAACCAGAAGAAGAGACGGCCAATCTTTGTTTGATGGCCAAATCAGATGATGAAAAGGCTTACCTTGAGGAACTCCAGAAAGAGGTATTTCTTGATCCTAAACAGCTTAAAACTCTCTCTAAAGATGTCTTAATAGATATATGTCTAGAAGAAGAAGAATTCTTTAGAGATACATGTGTAAAGTTGAACAAATGTGAAAAAGCTCTTAAGGTTTGCAAAGAACATGGTGCTTGGTTGGAAACACCCTATGCCAAGTCTCAAAGCAAATTAAGATAGCTTGATTTTAAATATAAACACATAACTGAGATAGATGATAGAATTAAGAATGAAAGTATTCTTCTGAATGTTGAATTAACTCAGTATAAGCTCATAAATTCTGATATCAGTTCTAGCAGTTCCTCAAACAATCAGTTGCTTAAATTCAATGTTGATTTTGAAAATTTGAAAAATGAGCTTTCTACTTTAAAAACCCAAAAGGATCAACTTGAATCGGAACTTAATGCTAGAAAGGATAGAAGTATTGACCCAAAAGTCATACCTAAGTGGATAGCCGAAGCTCAAGGAAAAAGAACTGAAGGCCTTGGTTATATGACCAAGAAGAAAGGTAAGCAAAATAAATATGTTGAGCTTCCTAGCATGAAGGTATGCACTTTTTGTGGTAAGACTGGACATCTCTATGGACAGTGTAGGATAAGAGAAGAATCTAATAAAAGAAATGTAAAACAAGTGTGGGTCAAGAAAACTGATATTGCATCCACGTCTAAGGAACCCAAGGAAACCTGGGTTCCTGATCCTAATGCTTAGTTTTCTTGCAGTTCCTAGTGAGGGGGAACAACTCGTGGTATCTCGACAGCGGTTGTTCAAAGCATATGACAGGTGATAAATCAAAATTCCTCTCACTAGAAGACTACCCTGGAGGAACAGTAACCTTTGGGGATAATAAGAAGGGCGAGATCATTGGAAAAGGCAAAATTGGAAGATCTAAATCTCATTCCATTGATAATGTGTTCCTGGTCGAGGGCTTGATGCACAATTTGCTCAGTATATCACAATTTTGTGATAAAGGAAACTCTGTAAGTTTTACTTCTGATTCTTGCAGCATCATCAACAACAAGTCAGGAAAGGTTGTTCTAGAAGGAACAAAAAGAGGGAACACTTATACAGTTGACCTCAACTTAATCCCAAGGAACAACCTTACATGTTTGAGTGTTGTTGAAGATGATCCCCTGCTATGGCATAAACGTTTTGGACATGCTAGCTTTTCATTACTGGACAAGCTGAGGTCAAGGAACTTGGTAGTGGGACTTCCTATTATCAAGTTCCTACAGAACAAAGTTTGTGATGCATGTGTGAAAGGCAAGCATGTTCGCTCATCTTTTAAATTGAAGAAAATGGTAAGCACTACAAAGCCTTTGGAATTAATCCATATGGATTTGTGTGGTCCCATGAGAATTCAAAGCAGGAGTGGCAAGAAATATGTTTTGGTTATTGTTGATGATTATTCTAGATTCACTTGGGTTATTTTTCTTGCTAGTAAAGATGAAACTTTTAACGAGTTTGTTGCCTTTGCCAAGAAAATACAGAAAATCAGTAGTCACTCCATAGTCCATCTCAGATCAGATCACGGAACTGAATTTGAGAACTCAAGATTCGATGAGTTTTGCAGGGAAAATGGCATGAATCATAACTTCTCAGCTCCAAGGACTCCCCAACAGAATGGAGTTGTAGAAAGGAAAAATCGAACCCTTAAGGAAATGGCTAGAACGATGCTGATTGCAAGTGGATTGCCAAGGAACTTCTGGGCTGAAGCCGTGAATACAGCATGTTACATCCTTAACAGGGTAACAATCAGAAGTATCATCAACAAGACTCCCTATGAACTATTCAGGGGAAGGAAGCCAAACATATCTCATCTTAGAGCCTTTGGTTGTAAGTGCTTTGTACATAACAATGGTAAGAAAAACCTAGGGAAATTTGATGAAAGAAGTGAAGAGGCTATATTTCTAGGATATGCCTCTGATAGAAAAACTTATAGAGTCTACAATAAAATCTCAATGTGTGTTGAGGAAAGCATTCATATAATCTTTGATGAAGTTAACCAGTTTGTGAGTGTACAGGAACAAGAAGATGATAATGATTTTGAAATTGGATTGATAAGAGACAGGGATGAAGAGGAGACTCAAAAGCAAACCAAGGAAAAGCAGCCTGCTCTAGAAGAGGAACATCAAGAAAATGGAGAGGTTCCTCAACCAGATGAATAGGTGAATGAGGAACAAGCAGAAGAAGTAGAAGGAACAGAAACAGAAGCTCCTCAAATTGGAGTTCCAGCAAGGGAATTCCAACCAGGCCATTCAGGTATCGAGGTTCCCATCCAACTGATCTAATTATTAGTGATATAGGAAAAGGAACTCAAACAAGATCACAGATGAGGAACTATTGCGCATTCCATGCATTTCTGTACATTCTAGAGCCAAGAAATCATCAAGAAGCCTTGGGAGATGCTGATTGGATAGTGGCCATGCAAGAGGAACTCAATGAGTTTGAAAGGAACAAAGTCTGGCACCTTGAACCAAAGCCTAAGGGAAAGAAAGTAATTGGGCTCAAATGGGTGTTCAGGAACAAGCTTGATGAACATGGCACCATTGTAAGGAACAAGGCTAGATTGATTGTGAAAGGCTACAACCAACAGGAAGGTATTGATTTTGATGAAACCTTTGCTCCTGTAGCTAGATTAGAAGCTATTAGAATCCTAGTAGCTTTTGCTTCTTTTATGGGTTTTAAACTCTATCAAATGGATGTGAAATGTGCTTTTCTAAATGGTTTCTTAAATGAGGAGGTGTTTGTTGAACAACCTCCAGGTTTCGAAAATCCTAAATTTCCAAATCATGTTTTTAAGCTTGATAAAGCTCTCTACGGGCTTAAACAAGCTCCAAGAGCCTGGTATGAAAGGCTTTCAAAGTTCCTACTAAAAAACGATTTCAAAAGAGGAAAGGTAGACAAAACTCTTTTTCTTAAATCTCGAGGAACTGATTTGTTAGTTGTGCAGATCTATGTAGATGATATTATATTTGGTGCTACTAACAATGGTTTGTGCAAGTACTTTGCTGAGCTAATGGGTGGTGAATTTGAGATGAGCATGATGGGTGAATTAAATTTCTTCCTTGGACTTCAAATAAAGCAAACAGCTGAAGGAATAATGATTCATCAACAAAAGTATGTCAAGGAACTTCTGAAGAAGTACAACATAGAGAATGCCAAGACAAAATCATACACCTATGGGAACAGCAACAAGACTTGATGAGGATCCACAAGGAACAAGTGTGGATCAAACCACTTACAGAGGTATGATTGGTTCATTACTGTATCTAACAGCCAGTAGGCCTGACATTTCTTTTAGTGTTGGATTGTGTGCTAGATTTCAGTCTAATCCTAAAGAATCACATCTAACGGCTGTTAAGAGAATTTTGAGATACCTCAAAGGAACAGATGACCTGTGTCTGTTCTATCCTAGAAGTGATGACTTTATGCTTAAAGGATTCACATATGCTGACTATGCAGGTGACCTAGTCAATAGGAAAAGCACCTCAGGTATGGTTCAGTTCCTTGGTTCTTGTCTAGTTTCTTGGGGTTCCAAGAAACAAAATACTGTTGCATTGTCTACTTCAGAGGCTGAGTATGTAGCAGCAGCTGCTTGTTGCTCTCAAGTCCTCTGGATAAAACAACAGTTACGTGACTTTGGTATTAAATTTAATTGCATTACTATCTACTGTGATAACACTAGTGCAATTTGCATATCTAAAGATCCAGTCCATCATTCAAGAGTTAAGAATATTCATATAAGGCATCATTTCCTTAAGGATAATGTTGAAAAGGGTTGATTAAATTAGATTTCTGCCAAACTAACAATCAAATTGCAGATATATTAACAAAACCCTTGAATAGAGAAAGGCATGAGAAGATGAGAATGGAACTTGGGATGATTAAGTTATGCTGAGAAAAATGCATCAAGTTCCCTCAGGTATGAAGCTCAAACTAACATGCTTAATCTGTTGTATACCGTGCACAAGTGTTATATGTTTAATTACATAGTTAAGACAGGTTGTAAGCAGGAGTAATATTTACTAAGGGCATGTAAATTTGAAAGACATAGAATATGAAAAGTCCAAAATTGGTTGCATGAGCCTTGTTGATTTGTTCCGTGTATCAAGTTGTATTTGCAAGTGTTCTTTACTGATAATATTCAAAAGATAAAATTATTGTGTTTATCTATCTTTCAAAATTCCAACTTCTTTTTATCTAAACACAAATAAATCGGATGAATGCATCTAATTTCATCACTATCTTTTGTTCAAAAAGTAGCCCACTTACACTACTCTCTTGAAACACGGTTTGCGTTTCCCTAAGCAATAAATATGAGTGTCAAATCAAATAAATTCACCTCACCTCCCAAGAGACACCTCACTTCACCAATTTACCTCCACCATAAAAGATGTCAGCCTCACACAAATTTACACCACACAAAAATTACCTTCTCTCTCATCACTCCGATCAAAACTACTCTCCAATGTCTACCTCTCCAAAAACCCAAATTGAAGCCGACCTTAACACAAACCCAATTCCAGAAATTACCATGGAAATCCCACCGGAAATTAACCCCATTGATGACCAAGAGCCTCCAAAAGTGGATTCAACTACCGAATCCCAGTCTTCTCGAAAAAGGAAGTCCGATGACATGCAAGAAGAAGAAGAAAGCGCTCCGGAACTAGGGGTCAATTACTGAGACAAGCCTGCAGCCATGAAACGGCAAGAGAAGATCAATGATCACTTTGTGACAGGTTTGGCTATTAATCTTCCTTGGTGTAAGTCTGTTAAATTGTATGAACTGCTTGATTTGATTGAAGCTCAAAATTGGGTAAATTTGTTGAGTGAATGCTTTAATCGGAGTATGTATGATGATGCTATGAGGGATTTTTTGCAAAAGTTTCAAATACTCTAAAGGTGTTTTCGCTGCTGTGTGTATGAAAAAGAAATTGAGTTTGATGCGATGTATTTGGCTGAGTTGTTTGATGTTCCTAATACTGGATATGACTTGTATTTTAAGAGTAATGTGATAAGGAACCCTCTTCCTGATGCAAATATTGATGAGATAGTAGAGTTTCTAGGTGGAGACCCGGAGGAAACCTACATAAATCACAATGACCTAACCCCTCTTGATAAAATTCTGCTAAAATTCGTTTTCAATGATATTATCCCTCGAACCCAAAAGAGAGACAGTGCCAACAAGCTTGACTCTGTTCTCATCTACTGCCTAGCCAAAAAGATCCAAATTAACTTTCCCTCCATCATGATTCAACACCTTTCCCACTGTGTTCCAAAAGGATGGAAGGTGTGATATGGTAACCTTCTCACCTATGTCTTTGAAAGCTTTGGAATTTCCTTTGTTGATAAAGAACCCCTGCCCCTCAAAAACACCGAGTACATGCAGCCCATTTTCCTTGAAAACCATAAGATGAAGGTTGTAGATGGATGTTTTGAGGTTGTGCTGGAAGAAAAAGATAAGAGGCCAAAGGAAGTAGGTGCTATAGCTGAGGGGGAAAAAGAGAGAGCTTCTGGGATCATAGAGGGAGTGGTGCAGGACATTCAGGAGGAGGAAGAGGAAAAGGTGGTTGAGGAAGTGATTGAGACAGGGGGAAGGAAGAAAAGGAAGAGCTTGAGGCTGCTGAAGAAAAAGGAGCCCTCTGTACCCATTTGCATTGATATGACTGGGGTGCAAGAGGAATTGCAGAAAGTCACGAGCTCTCCTAGTCTGGGCAAGCATGCATCTGCAGGAACAGGTTTCGCAGCTTTTAGTTCCCCATCAAAGGTTCCCAGCGAGGATGTCAAGGAGATGAAGGATATGCTCCTGAAGGTGCTGAAGGAACAAGAGGATTCAAAGCAGAACATGGAGGAACTGAAGAAGAGTGTGCTCACTCTAGATGCTGCCGTGAAGGAACTGGTCAAAAGCTCAGAACAGGGGAGACAGTCCACTGTCAAGGACATAGTGTCTCAAATCAGCAAGAAGCTGGAGGATCTTGCTGTTGATGATGACCAGAGCAATGCTTCCTAAACTATCCTACCTTGCAGCCTTTCTTTGTTGATGAAACTTATGTTTATTTGCTTTTGGAAACAATTTTTTTTGGGTCTGTAATGTTTTGGGCACTTTTTAATTTCTTTTGGTAATCTTGCAAATTTGGTACAATTCGTCGATGTTTTAAATCAGTTTTGGATGATGAATGTTTATGTTTCTTTTGCTTATATTCTTTATGAATATTTGCTCTCTATGTATGCTTCTTGTCTTAACACCAAACCACTAGTTGGTGTTGTGTTATGGTATACTATACATATGTGTGTTAGTTTTTGATAATGCCAAAAGGGGGAAAAAGATGCAAACTATCAAGGAAACTTAATCATTCTATGGTCTCTGTTCGAAATCTTCACAAGCTGCCTAATCTCTACAAGCAGGTATAATGTATATACAAGTTTTTTTCAAGTTTTTCAGTTTTTCCTTAAGTTACTTATTTATGCATTGTTTTTATTTCCTTAAACATTAGTTTCCATTCTGCATTGTATTTTGTTTTTGCATTTTCTTTCTTTAGGAATAAAATGGATTATCTCTGTTTCCTTGTAAGTAAGTTTGGCTTGTTTGTCATCATCAAAAAGGGGGAATATTGTTGGACTTAATGATTTTGATGATGACATAACCTCACTTACTTACAAACTAATAAGTGCTTGATTGTTTAAGTGTGTACTCAGTTACAAAGACTAGGAGAATAAAGTGTCTTGTAAAGATACCATGAGGAACAAGAAGGCCAGAAGCAGAGCTATCCATATTGAAGAGTTCCCTCACAGGAACTGGCGCTTCAAAAATGAAGACTGGAGAAGAGAAGGTTCCCTTAGGGAACAGAAGCTTCAGAGAAGAAGCCTCATCAGAGAAGAGAAGTTCCTCCTAAGGAACAGAAGCCTCGGAGTAGAAGCTTCATCAAAGAACATGAAGACTAAATATATTTTTATATTTTAGGATTTATGTAAGTGTAAGATATTAAATAGCACTCGAAAAATCTGTGTGGAATTGGTCTAAAAAGATAAAATAGTGCATGCTAGTTTTTAGGAAAACTGTTGCTTTCTAAAACGTTTATCTTTTGAAAGGGATTTTATTTTATTCTGAATTTCGAAAATATCTTGTGCAAAAAGATTTTATTTCCTTATTTTCAAAAATATATTT